GTCAAATTTAAATTTTATTTTGAATGTTGAATGAAAGTTGCGTTCAATGAGTTCAAAGCCCGCGATAAAAGCTATGCAATAGCTTAAAAACCTATCTTTTGCGATACATTTTTATATCCCTGTAGATATTTTTCTGAAAATTGGTACGCAGTTTCTATGCATCTAAAGCCATTTTCCAATACACAATTTAAACTTTTACATTTGCCATTGGCGTTCATGCGGGCTTTGAACTGAATATTTCTTAAAAAAAAACGGTACGTCACTGGTTTTTCTTGTAATAAAAAACATTTTTGAATTCTTTATTTCTTTTATTATAACATATCTGGTCTCTTGGTCTTTTTTCCTTGATGCATGGTTTTCGCATAAAAAAATAAAAACCATTATACAGCAATGCCCTATCGTTAAAATTTAATTTTTTAATTTAATAGTAATTACTATATTTTTTATTTGGAGAAAAATAATGCATTGCAATTAAAGTTCCTTGAGTTTGAGAGAAGCATTTTTTGTAAACTTACTTTTTTCCGGTAAAAAATTGAAACATGCCTGTCTGATAAACATTAAAAATAGAATGTTTTTCATTTAAAACATTGGCCACTATTCGCACCGCTTCAGAATAAATTTCCCCTTAGTAAAGTAAAACTTATTATTTAAGTATTACTTATCATAGTTTAATTCGTACTAGCCGATTAAAAAGCAACGATTAATTAAGTGTTGGATTGATTTGGCAACGTCAAGATTTTTATAGAAAAAGAAGAAATAATATCAAATTTGAATTTTATTTTGAATGTTTAATGAAAACTGCGTTCAATGAGTGAATCGGATTCTTGCTACGATTAGGGTAGCAGGATCAGCTTACTGAACGGTACGCTCAATTTACAAATATTAAATTTATGTCGGACGATAATTCTAATTTAATGAACCGTAGCATTTGCAATTGAAAGTGAATTTGTTTCTTTTTCACTTGGAGATTTCATCAACAATTTACAATAATTTTAATATTTAAGTATTTTTATCACATTATAATGCACAACCAGGTTGTTCTTCTAGCAATCGCAAATAGCGATTGGTTTTAGGCGTTTTAGGTTGATTTTAAGAGGTTTCCCGCTCAACTTTCTTGATAGAAGCAGAAACTAGCGCAAAAATAAAACCCTCCAAAATATACGCAGCTAAAGTTATGATTGTCACAGGCGCAGAAGAGAGAAAAACTGTCACAGGACTATTTAAAAAAATTAGATGAACTAAGAAGTAATAAAATAGAGCACGAAGTACAGCCATAATGAGAGTAAAATTAGTATTAATTCAATTAATTAATATAAAAAAAATTATAGAAATTACACTAACGTTTAAAGATGAGGAGAGGTAGCCAATACTACCAAGAGTTTAATGCTAATTTTACAAAAAAGATTCGCAAAAAACACTCTTTATAAAAATGGTTATAATTATTGTATTGTCTATAAAAATATTTGAGTTTGAAACCTACATATTTATTATAAATTTACTTCAATTTCATCAATGCAATTAAGAATTTTCTTTGGCCATTTAAATCGCAGTGTAAAAGTAATCGTTTCTTGTATATATTATTTTATATTCTTCGTGATATCTAATATTAATGAAATCAAGCATTTCCAAAGACTCATTATCTTCCATTATTTCCATTTGGTGTATTGCAATTTTACAAATGCTAATAAATCAATGACACAATGACAGTCAACATCATTCAAAATTATAAAAATTAATCATTTTAAGGTTAAGTAATGGTTTAAGCTGAAACATTTCTGGGCTTAGTAAAGTGACTCTTAACGCCTTGATAAGTGGAACTTTAATAACGGTGCAAACGGTTATGCCTTCTTAAGTGTCACTTAGATGCTAAGTAAAAGCGGTGCGAATGGCCCTTAAAGTACATACTTCACGGTCTAAGTGCGGTCTATCTTTTTACCACATTCTTCTCTTCTCCAAAAAAATAAAGTATTTGTTTGCAACCAGTTTTTATATATAATCATTGTTTTCATCAATTATCAGTTGACATTGGCATCAGTCAAATTATTCAACGTCGCTGTTTTGGTGTAGAAGTTACAACTAAAGAAATGTATAATTACAAAAATAATGAAATGTGCGATACGCACTTCATTTATGAGCTGGCTAACGGCAACATACTAGAAGCCATGCGTATGTTAAATCGTTTACATAATCACCTAAGTGAAACCGGCAGTTTTAAAAAACTTACCAGTGAAAACGGACATCCACATACAGTTACTCCTCAAATGGAAGAACAGGTGCTTAATAAAATCGAGGAAAGTCCTACTACAAGCCCTAGAAAGATAGACGTTACACATTAGTCATTCCACAGTTTGGAATATTCTTAAAAGGAATCTTTTATACCCCTATCATATTCAGCGTGTTCAGGCACTTTTGCCCGACGATTTTCCAAGAAGATTGGCTTTGTGTCATTGGATGCAAGAACCTATGAAGCAAGATGCACTGTTTTTGAGAAAAGTATTCTTCACCGATGAGGCTAATTTCTCCAGGGACGCAATCATGAATTTCCACAACAATCACATATGGAGTGATGAGAACCCACATGCCGTGTTGGAAGGCCGTCATCAATACCAGTTTTCGCTGGGTCGGAATTATTGATAACTTTCTGATAGGCCCATTTTTTTACCGGTAAGGTTGACTGGAGAAGTATATCGTGGATTTCTTGAAAATGATTTGCCAACACTGATTGAAGAAGTTCCTATTCAGCTAAGACAACGAATTTTCTTTTTACATGACGGTGCTCCAGCGTATTTTAGTTTAGTTGCTCGGCAGTAGTTGAATATTACATATCCAAATCGTTAAATAGGTCGGGAAGGTACCCAACCGTGGCCCCCACGGTCTTTTGACTTAAATCCGCTTGATTTTGTTCTGTGGGGCCACCATAAATATCTGGTTTACAGAACTCCAATTGAAAATGTGGAGGAATTGCGGAATCGCATTATAGCGTCTTGTGAAATAATACGACAGACCACAAGAATTTTTGAACGTGTCCGCCAATTATTGCGACATAGACTAGGCGCTTGTATTGATATTGAAGGTGAACACTTCTAACAACTTTTGTAAACTTGTTAAGTATTTCTTGAATAAATAATTAATAAAAAAAATGGCTTATTTAATTTAATTACTTAAAAACTGTATTATTTTAAGAAAAGAATGCAGGAACAAAAGATCTTCATTCTTAAGTTGCAAATTTCCAGTTCCGTGAAAAATGCAATAAAATATTAATAATAAAAATAATAATAATGGTAATAACATTAATAATTAAATAACATAATCAGATTTAGGCGCTATGGCTATCCACAAAAATGGTTTTTATTTTTTTGTGCGAAAACCGTGCATCGAGCGAAACCAGACCAAAAGGCCAGATATGCTATAAAATAAATAAAGAATTCAAAAATAATTTTTATTATAAGAAAAACCAGTAGCATACCGTTTTCTTTTTAGAAAATATTCAGTTCAAAGCCCGCATCAACGCCAATGGCGAAAGTAAAAGTTTAAATTGTGTATCGGAAAATGGCTTTGGATGCATAGAAACTACGAACCAATTTTCAGAAAAATATCTACAGGGTTATTAAATATATCGAAAAAAATAAGTTTTTTTCTTATAACTTTACCACCCTGTAGTTCAAAATCTAAGAGGCGTAAAACATATGTTTATAGAAACTTTTATACTTTATTTTGTCCAAGGGACACGCCTCTGAATTTTTTCGCAATATTAAAAAAATGATTAGGATAACATTTGTTTTAAATAAATGAACAACAATAGTCATATTTTTCCAATTTTTATGTTTTTTTTTTTTAATAAAAATTAAAATTAAATATGTATATGAACCAAAAATAATCTAGGTTGTTACATTAAAATTCTTTTAATAATTTGTTAAAAAGAAATATCTAAGATCTATAATTAAAAACTAATGATAACAATTTAATCATCAAATCAATTTTACTATTAAAATTGTCATTACATTATTCAAAATAGAAATTAGACATATTTGACAGCTTATGTAAAAAGTAGATTCATTTTCACATATGGGTGGAAAGATTTCCACACGCGTGTGATATAGGACACTTCCCATAAGACAAAATATTGTGACAGGTGTCGTAGGAAAATGGGATTTGCGATATTTTGCTTATATGTATTAAAAAAAGTTAATCCTTTTAAATACAAATCCAGTACTTAATTGATAACAATTATAATTTTTCTTAAACTGTTTTTATCAAAATTAAACAAAATGACGTCTCAACTCCGTGCAATAAGACAAAAAAATCTAATAATAAATTAATTCAAAATAACTTGGTTTTGCATTTTTACCAAAATTTAATGGTAGAGGTTTTATGAATTTTATCATTTTCTTTTGGGACAACCAGTATGTCTACTCTGCTATAAAACGTTTATGTTCTTTTATAATTTTTTTATAGTTAAATGTGTTCTTATACTTTTTATTTATAACAAAATCAAATTAAAATCAAACTAAACGCAATTAATTCAAAACAAATTCATTTATTTTAAATTGTTTTAGCCAGTCATTAAATTATTTCCAAACAATGCACGTACCAAGCCCAAAGCACCACGTTCACACTCCCGAGTTCTGACAAATCCGTTACGTGCATTCACAATATAATTTTTCAAACGATTTAGTTACAAATACAGTGTTAGGCGAAACGTCAATGTTGCCATATTTTATACTTAAAATATACATTTATTCGTCTTCTCGTTAGATTTTAAATATTTTCCAAAGACAATGTGTGTATTTAGTGTTGCGGACCGGTCAAATTGCTTGTTCTTTAATCTATCTACGATTGTCTGAATTAAAATTATGGGTAAATTAGGTTTTGCCGCGTATATTATTTGAAATTTTTGGTTTTTAATTTTCTTCGTTATTAAGAATTTGATTTAACGTGATTATATTTGGTTATACTTAGAGTATTTGCTTGACTTCGTTAAAATCAACGTAGGTACTTACTAAATGTAATGATTGAATCTCCTGTCCCATAAACAGGTAAAACCATTATTTTCCCTTCTACATTATACTTGGCTTCCTGTTTGAGAGTGGGAAGTTTGGTGACGAAGGAAAGAACCCCTTTTTCAAAATCAAATCTAGAAATTAAATAACTTGTACTATAGTTTTTAAAAAAGCAGTCTTTTTTTTATTTTAATATGAATATGTAAAAGAAATAATAAACAACTTTAGGAGTGCGTTCTGTTACCGCGCCCGAACGAAAAACGTTTTACCGTGGCCAGAGACAATCCAGCGAGACGTGTAACTCAATGTATTTTTTTTGTTCGGTAAAAGTTATTTGGGCGATTGTAACCACAACCAGTCTATGATGGCGCCACTAGTAAATAGCGGGAAAATTACAAATGCTTTAGGGCGGGATATTCAAACATGGATTCAGAAATAGTTTTTCTATACAAATTTACAGGAGAAACAAAAACTATTGCTTCACTGTATATTAAAAAAATATAAAAGCTTCCAATAACATCAAATTTTTTATCATATAAATAATCATTTTAATAAAGGAAGTTTTAATCAGTTTAATATAAGCAGTGAACATAGTTTTTATTAGTCTTGTAAATTTCGCTAAAAAAAACTTGAAAATTCTTTTGAATATTAAATATTTAAACTTGGAAAAATAATACACCAAACTCTTTTTCTATAAATTATATTTTTGTAAGGTACAGAAAAACAAACTACAATTGCTTCCTTTAGAAAGTACCTCGTATAATTTTGTGACAAATTACAAAGAAAGTAACAGTTGTTATATATTCATAATATATTTAAAAACTTATGTAACAAATATTTTATAAAGTATAGAGTATATCGATACCTTTTTGCCAGACTATCATAAGTGCCATTTGAACAAATATCGCTTATGTTAGTCTGGCGAAAAGGTATCGATATGCTATGACTGTTTATTTTAATAGAAATCATGGAAACGAAACAAACACTCACATACACTCAACACAAATGTATAAGGCCCGAGTCGAGTAAGTTCCCATCCTGTAAACTGGATCGAAACCTGCTAGACTCATTCCGTACACCCCCTGCTAACTCCTCTTAGGGTCATCAAGATCAATAGATTTATATGCTATGCCTTCTAAAAGGGAATGAAGGATGACATACTATCATCATTTAAACATAACGCTGCTGAAGGCTTACCCCTGTTATTTCGTTTGTTTGTGTATCTTGTGTGTGTGCATTTCTGTTGTGTCCCCAGTCATGTAAAAGTTTTCCTAGTATACTAATTTAGTTACTAGGTGGACCTTCTCCAACTAGTAGTCTAATCTATTCAATCTGTCCTGCAACAGGAGGTACTTTTCAAATATAGCAAATAATATTAATAATAAACACTATTTAAAGATTAATACATTTTTGTAATTTTTTTGTCTTTGCCCCTTACCTGTCTCTTACACCACCAGGGTATACCTATTTTCATATTCCCTTAATTATAGATTACCGTACAATGTTTGAATGAATATAACATTTATAATTTACCCATGAAAAATCTAATTTCGTATTTAACTCTTTTTTAATTTGAAACAATTGGTTCCTATAATACAATTTATTATTAAGAAAATCTTCTAATAAAGTTATACCAAATCCTACTTAAATTACTGGTTGTTCTGCGGGATAAATTAACTTTTCTTGAGATTGATCTCTCTATAAAATCCAAAACCGACCTGATGTCCCCAAATTTATTTTCCAATGCATCCTGATTTAAAATTCTGCCCTTCTGTTATTCAATTTTTTTTTCTTCCTTTAAAGTGGCTGTTAGAGGTAGGTGTATGTAAGAAATAGCTAATCTCTAATCATTTCAAAATTCCTTTGCCAATACTACATGTGCAGATTTTTTACTCAGCATACATTTTACTTTTCTAGTAGATAGGAACTTTGTGCTGCCATTAAAGCTGTCCAGACATTCATCTACCTACTTAATGAACACAAGTAGCTGTAAAAATGGATTTCTGTTCCAATTCACCTAAAATAATCGAATTAAATTATCGGTTTTGAGCTTACATTAAATTGTAATTAGATGAAACAAAATGGATTCTATGTATTTTGAGGTGATCTTTTCGAAAAAAAGGCAAAACAAAAGTAGCAATTTTTCGAAAGTGCCGAAATTTTGGATTTTGTCAATTTTTCAATTTTGCGCATGCGCATGTCGCAAATAAATCATTATTTTTATTAAATCATTAGTTTACGACATTCGAAAGCTTAGAAAAAATGCTTATTTTTATGTCTCCTGAGAAATTTTGATCGGATGCACCGTTCTCGCGGTATGGACGATTGAAATTTGTTTAGTATTTTGAGGCGGCGAAGGTCGAAAAATTGAATTTGTTAAATGTTCAATCACTAAATTCTTCATAACTTTGGTAAAAATTAAGATATTTGAAGAAACAAAAATTCGTTTTGAACTTAAGGCATGTGACTATTGATTCCCAGAAGGGGGCAAGAGAATTCCCAAAATTGGGCATATGGCGGAAGAGCAAAGTGTACCGCAAGCCTAATTTCATTGTTTGCCTATAACGGCCAAACTATTTAAAATTATTTAATGCCACTTACAGAGCTTGCTCCTAAATATAAAATCTTATACGTGTGTAAATTTTACCAAAATCGGATTATAATTAGCCAAGATATCAAACAATTTAACAAAAATTTTTCACTAAAAAAAAACTAATTTTTTTTCGAAAGTTTTAAGTGGTATAAAAATGCCAAAAATGCACCCAATGACTCAAAACTTTTTTTTTTGAATACTCTATTATGTCTAGAATATGGAAAATTCTGCAAAAATATTTTATCTATTTTTTTGACCACTGTTCATTGAGTGACGACCAAAAAACACGGTTTTTGAGAAAAGTTGCCTAAAATTGACGATTTTCAGTTTTTTGGTCTGAAAATTGAGCAAACCCAAATCTCATGTCTTCTGAATGTGTATACAAAGTTTAAAGTGTGTATGTTTCTTCTAAGTTGTAGAATTCTCCCGACAAAAGTCCCATTACACGCTCTCCGCGGGATCCAAAACTCGTTCATTTCTGTAATTTGATTTTTTTGTGATTTCCAGTTTTAAATTTCTTACATACCTAAATTTATTAGGCCTAAAATTTATTAAATTGTATTTTACTGACTTGTTATAAGACGTTTCTTGAGTTTTGTGCAAAAAATAGAATTACCGCAAAATTAGCCGGACGTCGTATCAAGGATAGCCATGGTCTCGGCGTTCGCTATCCGACAAGTTTAAACTTCAAACGGTCATATTATTACAAATTGAATCGCTTGATAGTGTTCATTGGCATAGATTTTTATTAACCGTGTTCAGCTAGCTCTGTGTACACGTGGTTTTTCGGACTTCTTCAGCAATTTATTAAGTAAGTACGTTCTTAAATTAAGAAAATTCTATCACAGTGCTATATTTTTTTTGTTTCCAGGTTGCAATGGCTGGACTGTGTTTATTATGTCATCAAAAACTTGCAGAGGGTGAACTTACCCCAATTAGACCGACAGGATTAAAGGGTCTGCAGATGGTCAGCAAAGAGAGAGGGGATGATTTTTTTCAGTTCTTTAGAACCAGGTTTTATATTGCATGAAAGGTGTCGCAAACATAACGTAGCTCGACGTTACGGAAAAGAGTTTATTTATAAAACCTGTGATAGGCATAAAAGGGCCGCGATTGACAATGCCAAAAAAAAAGAAGGATGGAGCATCAACCGAGAAGAAAACCAGATGTTAGAGAACAAAAAACAAGCTTATCACCAGATTGGAACTTACACTCAAGCTTAGGATTAATTTCCTAACATTTTTAAAGTATACCTTTTTGTATATTTTTTTGTGCTCTTTCCGATGGCGAAGTTAGTTTCTTCAAATATATTTTTTGTTAGATGTTTTCGGAAAACCCGGAGAAAATCATATGGGAAAAAATTAAAAAAAATTTACGTCTTCCGGTTTCCTGTGAATTCCCGAAAAATTATGGCAGATTTCGCCGCGGGACTTATTTTATTTGAGAGCCCACAAAAAAATACGCAACTTCTCTCATGGGCACATATGTCTAACATTTATAGTTTCGCCACAAATTCATCGCAAATTTCATGTTCATGATTCTGATCAAAGAAACAAAAAAACAACTTTTTGGTAAAAGCACTTCTGGCGGCGAGAAATTCGCCATTAAAACTACCTGTGCAATGAAATTCCGAACTATTTTTGCCTCCTCTTTCGATTGGTGCATTTATTTTTACTATCAGAATGATACTTGCCCAGATAATTAGCATTTTTACCATGGAAAATTCCGGAAAACTTGGTTTTTCCTAATTTAAAACAATTGAAAAACAGCTACATCATTTTTTTCTTTTTTTCGGAAAGATCACATCAAAATACACAAGGTCCACTTTGTTTCATCCAATTACAAATTAATGTAAGCTCGAAGGGGCTTTTTTTCGTTATTTAATTGGACTAAAATAATGATAGTCATTGTGTAATATATTATTAAACAAACACATTATACAGTGGTTTTCTTAATAAATTGGAAATTACTTACCTCTAGAAAGAAATGTGTACAAAAACGCGAGTTTGGTTCCAGAAACTGCTTCATGCAAAAAATAATATGCAAAAATAAACATTAATTAAACAACAAAATCAGACGCAAAGAAATAAACGGGGCCCAAATTAAATTAATTTGAATACAATGCACATGTTCATAACAACATTCATAACATTGTCAGTTGTCAGTTTTAATCGATATTTCGACGTCAAAAAACCGGCAACATCAGCGACCTCTTAGTTTGGTGTTAGTTTTATTGAAGGGAGATAAATATATGTAAAGATCAATGTAAAAGAGAAAGAAAGTCATATATGTAATTTAAATGGCCCACCGAACACGTTACACGTCTCTGCTGTCTTTGCCGTGGCCGTTCATAATTACGGCGTGTTTCGTCACCAGGGCCGACTAGAGAGGGGGTAGCCGGGACTAATTCCCGGGGCCCGGGCTTAAATGGGGACCCGGCAGCGCTGTAAGGGGGGCCCGGCAACAGGTTTTTTTTGTTCTGCATGAGAAATTCGACCCAAGATGAGAAAGGGAAGTTAAGTTTAATAAAATTAAATACAA